AAAAAAAAAAAAAAAAAAAAAAAAAAAAAAGGCAATTCTACAAGTTAATATGAAATTCTCCGGGGAATTCTACAGCAAGCGCAAAAAGCACACTCTAGAACACAGGAAGGGCATCACGGTGTTTTCCCGAGGGCTGTGCTGTACCTCTTCACTCTGCGGCTCCTTCTGAAAGGCTCACCGCCTGGCCATTCTGAGAAGTTGGTCTAAATAGGAAATGACGCAAACCCTGCCCTCGCCCCAGGAAAGTGGTCCCTTCAGGCTTCTGGAAGAACTGAAATGAACTGAGTTTATACCCAGGCTGTGTGTGTGACAAAAATAAATAAAAGAAAAATATAAAAGAACTGAGATGAGCTGTGTCTCCGATCTAATCGCCCTTCCTACCTGCAGGCTGCCAAGGCTGGCAGGGACAGGAAGCTGCTTTTCCTCGAGGCTTCACGTGGTCACTTTATGGCCGACAAACAAGGCAAGGCTCAATCAGCTCAAATGTCAACTCGCACACCGACCAGGTACCGCCCTCAGCTTCTCTGCGTCTTTCCGACCCATCACCGCGTCGCTGCGGCACAGGCTGAATGCAAACACTCAGATGGCCCACAAGCAAACATGAAAACCACAGGAGTTTAGTATTTTTTTTTTGACATGCAGTCCCTGTTGCCAGGCTGGAGTACAAGGGTGCGATCTTGGCTCACTGCAACCTCCACCACCTGGGCAAAAGGGATTCTCCTGCCTCAGCCTCCTGAGAAGCTGGGATTACAGGCGCTTGACACCACAGCCAGCTAATATTTATATTTCAGTAGAGACAGGGTTTCTCCATGTTGGTCAGGCTGGTCTCAAACTCCTGACCTCAGGTTATCCACCCACCTCGGCCTCCCAAAATGCTGGGATTACAGGCGTGAGCCACTGCGCCCAGCCAGCCATGGGAGTGGGCAGTCACGCTGGCTCCAGCCTGAGGCGGCATTTTTCCCCGTCGGAAGACCAGAGCTCTTGCATCTCAGGATAGGGCACCTGTAAGTCAGTCAGCGAAGTCTCTGCTCTAACTGGCCACCGGGGCCATTGTCTTCTGACACAGCCTGGCCAGGAGGCCTGCCATCTGCAAAAGGGAGTTCACTCCTTCTGCTATTTTCATATGAGTGTATCCAATTTCCTGAAAAACAAACCAATTCAAATCTGGTTAATAAGTGGGGGAGTTCTTTTTTAAAATCTGAACTGAAAAAATAAAAAATAAAAACAGAAACGAACTGAACTAATAGTTTGTTCAAAATCAGCATGAGGAATTCAAACTCCAGCCGGAAAATAAATGCTAAGATGCAATGAATGATGTTTTCCTAAAGTTCAATTTGTGTCTTCAAAAGATGCTGGTAGTTCTTTCAAGGATACTGTTAAGAAAATGAGGTGGGAGGAAAAAAGGCCCTGCTAGAGGAAGGTATTTATCAAACATCTATCTGATAAGGAACTCTCATTCGGACTATATAAAGAATTCTCAAAAATTCAGTAATAAAGGCCGGGCACAGTGGCTCACACCTGTAATTCCAGGACTTTGGGAGGCCAGGTAGGAGGATAACTTGAGCCCAGGAGTTCAAGACCAGCCTTGGCAACACAGGGAAAACTCATCTCTACCAAAAATACAAAACCTGGCTGCTCTCTAAATAAATAAATAGATTAAAATTAAAAATGGGTAGATTTGAAAAGATGTTTCATCAAAGATGATTCTGGATGGCAAACAAGACATAGGAAATGCTCAGATATTAATTAAGGAAATGCAAATTGAAGCCACTATGAGATCTCATCACATGCCTATTAGGTTTGTTTGTTTTTGTTTTGTTTTTGAGATGGAGTCTCGCTCTTGTCGACCAGGCTGGAGAGCAGTGGTGCAATCTCGGCTCACTGCAACGCCTGCCTCCCAGGTTCAAACAATTCCCTTGCCTTACTCAGCCTCCTGAGTAGCTGGGATTACACGCGTGTGCTACCACACCCAGCTAATTTTTGTGTTTTCAGTAGAGATGGGGTTTCACCATACTGGCCAGGCTGGTCTCAAACTCCTGACCTCAAGTGATTCATGCACCTCGGCCTCCAAAGTGCTGGAATTACAGACATGAGCCACCGCATCTGATCATTACACACCTATTAGAATGGCTTAAAAACCAAACTGAGGCCGGGCGCGGTGGCTCAAGCCTGTAATCCCAGCACTGTGGGAGGCCGAGGCGGGTGGATCACGAGGTCAAGAGATCGAGACCATCCTGGTCAACATGGTGAAACCCCGTCTCTACTAAAAATACAAAAAAATTAGCTGGGCATGGTGGCGCGTGCCTGTAATCCCAGCTACTCAGGAGGCTGGGGCAGGAGAATTGCCTGAACCCGGGAGGCAGAGGTTGCGGTGAGCCGAGATCGCGCCATTGCACTCCAGCCTGGGTAACAAGAGCGAAACTCCGTCTCAGGGAAAAAAAAAAAAACCAAACTGAGCACTCCACGTGGTGGCTAGGTTGAGGATCCTCTGGAATGCTGGTGGGATGCACGCACTAGGCCACTTTGGGAAACAGTCTGGCAGTTCCTTATCAAGTAAAATATACACTTACCATTCGCCCAGACAATCTCACCCCTGGGAATTTACTTGGGAAAAATAAAAACTTAACATTTGCATTCACACTAATCCATATATGCAAATGTTTACAGTGGCTTTATTCACAGCCACCATAATCTGTAAACCCAAATGTCCTCCAGCTGGTGAACAGATGAGCAAACTGTGGTACATTCACACAGATGAGCTACCTCTCAGTGATAAAATGGACTGAATTCCCACCTGCAATCCCAGAACTTTGGGAGGCTGAGGTGGGTGCATCACGAGGTCAGGAGTTCCAGACCAGCCTGACCAACATAGTGAAACCCCGTCTCTACTAAAAATATAAAAAGTAGCTGGGTGAGGTGGCGCACACCTGTAATCCCAGCTACTCAGGAGGCTGAGGCAGGAGAATCACTTGAACCTGGGAGGCGGAGGTTGCAGTGAGTTGAGATCACACCATTGCACTTAGCCTGGGCAACAGAGTGAGACTCCGTTTCAAAAAAAAAAAAAAAGGACTGAAGCATGGATAGTGGTACCAACGTGTACACATCTGAAAGGTACTTCTGCTAAAGTGAAAGAAGCCAAACTCACAAGGCTAAGTTCTACATGGTCCCATTTACACGATATTCCAGAAAATTATATCCCCCAAAGGGAAAGTACATTAGTGGTTTCCAGGTGGCAGGCAGGGAGGATGCTGACTTCAAATGGGCACATTAAGTTTTCTGGGATGACAGATTCTGCATCTTGATTGTGACAGCGTTTGCATGACTGAGTACGTTTGTCCTGTCCCTAACAGGCTGAATTTTACTCCATGTAAATTAAACCCCAATTAATCTGACCTTAAAAATCAATCAATCAGCCAGGCGAGGTGGCTCACACCTGTAATCCCAGCACTTTGGGAGGCTGAGGCGGGTGGATCACCTGAAGTCAGGAGTTCGAGGCCAGCCTTGCCAACATGGTGAGCCCCATTTCTACTAAAAATATTTTTAAAAAGCTGCATGTGGCGGTGCGTGCCTGTAATCCTAGCTACTCAGTAGGCTGAGGCAGGAGGATCGCTTGAACCTGGGAGGTGGAGGTTGCAGCAAGCCGAGATTGCACCACTGCACTCCAGCCTGGGCAACAAGAGCGAGAAACTCCGTCTCAAAACAAAACAAAACAAAACAAAACAAAGCAAAACAAAAATCAATCGACTGACAAGATGGCCTCAAAGGAAGAAAATCAGAACTGGGTGAAACAAACTTGGCCCAGGACAATCAGCCATGCTGACACAGTGCGGACGTGTGTCGCCTCCCAATCTCATTTGGAATTTGATCCCCAACGTGGGGATGTTTAGGTCATGAAGAAGATCCCATGTGAATGGCTTGGTGCCCACCCCAAGGTAATAAATTAGTTCTGGTTCCCTTAGTTCCCTGGAGAGCTGGCTGTTCAAATGAGCCTGGCACCTCCCTCTGCTCTCTCGACAGGTGATCTCTGCACGCACAGGCTCCCCCTACAACTTCCAACATGAGCAGACGCAGCCTGAACCCCTCCCTAGAGGCAGATCTGGCCTCATGCTACATGTACAGCCTGGAGAACTGAGAGCCAATCAACCTCCTTCCTTTCTAAATCACCCAGTCTCCGGTATTCCTTTATAACAACTCAAAGGGACTAAGACATACCCTCCCTCACGCTGCAGTTGGGAACCAGAGAACCTTCAAGGTGCCAGTCCTGTGAGCAAACAGAGAAAGCCAAGCCCACCGTCTTGTTTTTTTTTTTTTGTTTTGAGACACAGTCTCGCTTTGCCGCCCAGGCTGGAGTGCCGTGGCTCGATCTCAGCTCACTGTAACCTCTGCCTCCCGGGTTCAAGCAATTCTCCTGCCTCAGCCTCCCAAGTAGCTGGGATTATAGGCACGTGCCACCACACCCAGATAATTTTTGTATTTTTAGTAGAGACAGGGTTTCACCATGTTGGTCAGGTTGGTCTCGAACTCCTGACCTCAGGTGATCTGCCCGCCTCGACCTCCCGAAGTGTTTGGATTACAGGCGTGAGCCACCACGCCTGGCCACCATGGCCCACATTCTTGAGAACAGCGGCATTCCCAGACTCTCACTGACCTTGATAAACTCCAGTTTCAGGTATTCTGCCATTTGGAAAGTTTTACACACTCGAAAGATGTTGCCAATGATATCTTCTGGTGAGTAGCCCAGATGCCACAGGTGAGCGAGAATCTAGACAAAGGAGACAGAGTAGGCTGCTTAACAACTTGAAACTGCAAGAAGCCATGTGATTTTGAGACTCACCACAGTTAGTGGGGCATGCCCTTCAGGTCACATAGGGGTACTTTAACTGATTTTCCTGGCAGATACAGAGATAACTTTGCAAATTATTTTTGTTTTGCTTATTATTATTTTTTAATAATATAAAGATGGAGTCTTGCTATATCGCCCAGGCTGGTCCCAAGTTCCTGGCCTCAAGTAACCCTCCTGCCTCAGCCTCCCAAAGTGCTGGGATTCCAGGCATGAGCTGCTGAGCCCAGCCTACTGCAAATGTTTGTTTATTCATTTTTTTATGGTGTGGGGGAGCTGAATGCAAATATTTTAAGTTGTGTTGTAAAATTGTCTACTACCACACTCATGTCATCTCTTGATGCAGAGCTCTTAAAACGCTTTATTGATCTGATGACAAGGTACAGCAGAGTTGCAAAAGCAGAACATTCGTCTGCTGGCTTCGCCCAGCTGCAGTCACCAGGCAAACCCTGCAGGCCGAGCAGCCTCCTGCCTCCCACCCACTCCGCCCCCGACAGGCTGCAGGGTCTGGAGACAGGCCTTTTTGCCTTTGCTTTGGCCTCTTGGGGTGAATTCAGGGAGCAGAACAGCTGTGTCCATAAATCTGAAGGCTTTCTTCAGGTCCACTCAGGGACCTGGCCCTGGGTCTCTGCCTGTTTCCTCGCCGTGTACTCAGTTTCACATTAGGTGGAACTCTGCCCTAAACCCAGTCAACTTCCAGCCTAGTAGGCAGAGGGAACCTACGATTGGACCAATGACCCTGAACCACACAAACGCCATCCCTGTGGCTTGAGGTCATCTGAACCCCAGCCACACCTGCTGGAATCTGCTTACAAGCCCAGTCCCACTGTCAGGCTGCAATCTTCCTGGTCCCTCCTTGCCTGGCTGGCTGGGGGCTGCTGGGTCCCAGAATGCCTGTGCCGATGGGAATGGATGGGGACACCCCCACTTAACCAGAGAGATGGCTTCACTGGAGAAGGAGCTAGGCTGGTCTTTCCTTCTGACTTGTGCTGACAAATTTCTCTGGCAGAGGACATAATTACAGGAGAAAAATACCATTCTGAATTCTAGTTCTACTGTTTTTTTTTCTTTTTGGTGAGACAGAATCTCGTTGCCTCCCAGGCTGGACATCTCCTAGGCTTAATCGATTCACCTGCCTCAGCCTCCCAAAGTGCTGGGACTACAGGTATGCGGCACCTTGCCCAGCCCAGCTAATTTTTGTATTTTCATTAGAGACGGAGTTTCACCATGTTAGCTACACTGGTCTCAAATTCCTGACCTCAGGTGATCCACCGTGCCCGGCTCTACTGCTTTTAAACAGTATGATTTAGGGCTGGGTGTAATGACACCTGCCTATAGTCCCAGCTACTTGGGAAAAGGCTGAGGCAGGAGGATCGCCTGAGCCTGAGAGGTTGAGGCTGCAGTGAGCTGTGACCGAGTCACTGCATTCCAGCCTGGGCAACAGAGCAAGACCCTGTCTCTAAAAAAATAATAAATACAAAAATAAGAAATAAACAGTGACTTAGGGCAAGGAATTCAGCCTCTCTGAATCAATTTTCACATCAGTAACGTGCACCCAACTCCTAGCATTTTTTTCCAGCTACTTGACAGATTAACACATAGCATGATATTAATATTTTTTCCCTGAGACAGGGTCTCACTGTCACCCAGACTGGAGTGCAGTGATGCAATCACGGCTCATAGCAGCCTTGACCTCCAGGGCTCGAGAAATCCTCCTGCCTCAGCCTCCCAACTATGATTTTTAATGGAGTGAGGTGTATAACGTTCCTGGCACCAGAAGGGCTCCCACTATCCTCTGCCCAAGAAGTGAGAGGTTCGTCTGCAAGGATGCGGCGGGGGTGCGGGGGGAAAGGAGGCCGACCTTGTAAGCGTCATCGATGTTGGCATTCACACAGTGCTGGATCATCTCCTTCACCAGCAGTGGGTGGGGCTCGTCACACACCTGCCCAAAGGGAAAGGAAAGCAGTCAGGGGCCGTGAGGGTGGGAGGAACAGCATGAGCGGGGAGACCCTGACGGACCAACTTCCAGGCAATCTCTGGGTCCAGCTTCTCAACCTGCTGTTTTGTTTTTTAGATGAGTCTCGCTGTCGCCCAGGCTAGAGTACAACGGTGCAATCTCAGCCTCCCAGGTTCAAGCGATTCTCCTGAGTAGGGCGCCACCATGCCCGGCTAACTTCTGTATTTTTAGTAGAGATGGGGTTTCACCATGTTGGTCAGGCTGGTCTCGAACTCCTGACCTCGTGATCTACCCGCCTCAGCCACCCAAAGTGCTGGGATTATAGGTGTGAGCCACCATGCCCCGCCTACCTGCTGTTTTCATCAAATTCTCCAGCAACCAGAATGAGTTTGGGGAATGCTCCTCTCACCACCAAAGAGAAATGCTTCCAGCACCAGGGTAATAAATTTCCCAAACACAAGACAGATGAACAAGAGCAACCATGGGCCTGTGAAGGACGCTCACGGGGGCAGCACTAAAGCCAGCAGTCACCTGTCTTGCATCACTTGGCAGGGGGTCATTTGCCCAGAACCACTTGGAATTCACTTTAGAACTGGGAGGTCCTTTGGTCCAATTCTCATCTACACCCTGGAGTAGGAACTGACCTTCCCTGCAGAGGGTCCCCAGCCTCAGCCCGACACCCTAAAGGAGGGGTGCCCCTACTCCAGCAGGAGGATGGATGGTTCCGGGGCTCTGTCCTCCCCCCAGCGCTCCCCACTGGCATTAGCCTCTGCTGTGGTACAATGTCAACCCCTAAATCTTCTCAATGAAAGCCTCCTGATGGCTCCAGAGGGCACCCACACCTGCCCTTGTCTTTTCCCAGCTGAAGCCATGGTTTCCTGAGCCCTCGGTGACCCTACAAGAAGAAACAGGCACTGAACCATCACCCCTGTTTCTGAGCGGGCTTCCCTTTCTTAAGTGGCCTTAGAAACACATTCACTGCCCAGGTGTACCCAGACGCTTCGAAAATAGCTTGTCTGTTGTCCACAAACCTGGTAAAGAGCTCTAGACTGAAAGCTTAGACAACTGTTCCCAGTTTCTACCCCCAAATCAGGGAAATTAGTCTCCCAAATGGCATTTAGACGCCAAGTTATCAGGATGCAGAAGCAGTTTTCAAAAGAATTCCTAAGAGAAAAATGCTTTGCAGACGTGGGAGAGTGAGAGGCCTTTTCCTCAGCCTGGCTACCTACCCTCCAGGAGCAGAAGTGGGAAGCAGGGCACGGCACTGCAAAAAATCCCAGTGTGGGGCATCTGAAGGCTGCTGGGGAATAGCACGGTGCTCCTGCCTGCCCTTTAGAGACCAGGGGATTCCCTGGGCCCATGTCATCACCCACAATGTGATGGGAAGAACCTCTGTGCAGGGAAGTTGCTGGGATCCAGTAAGACGCGTCGGAAATTGCCCAGCCCTGGGTATGACACATCAATGATCTTCCCTCACCCACCACACACAAGTGATGTCTCAGGTCCCCCACCCCCAGCTCTCCCGCTTGTGCAGCAAAAGCAGAGACAGGGAGAGGACAGATGGGAGCAGGGTGGGCTCCCTGGCAGCCACCAAAGCGAGGTGTCCTTCCCCGCTGCCGGTCCAGCCCCTCAGCACCACCGACCCCCTCGGGGAAGCACGGCTTCTGCTGACTGTGCTGCCTACACCAGCGCTTGTACCTTGAACACATTCTCACTGTTAATGAAGCCAAATCCTGAGAAGGTGGACTGCAGGTTGTTCAGCGCCTGTTCAGGAGCAAACACATGTCAACAGTGATTTTTATTTTCTAAAAATTTAATGATTTATTTATTTTTCGGGGCACAGGCGGGTAGAGACAGGTTCTTGCTGTGTTGCCCAGGCTGGTCCTGAACTGGCCTCAAGCAATCCTCCCACCTCTGCCTCACAAAGTGCTGGGATTACAGGTGTGAGCCACGGCATCAGGCCAAGGGTGCCTTTTTGTTTTTTTGAGACAGATTCTCACTCTGTCACCCAAAGTGGAGTGCAGTGGCATGATCTCAGCTCACTGCAACCTCCACCTCCCAGGCTCAAGTGATTCTCCTGCCTCGGCCTCCCAAGTAAGCTGGGATTACAGGCGCCTGTCACCACGCCTGGCTAATTTTTATACTTTTTTAGCAGAGATGGGGTTTCGCCATGTTGGCCAGGCTGGTCTTGAACTCCTGATCTCAGGTGATCTGCCCACCTCATCCCTTCCCCGCATCTCTTCTTGGAGTCCCAGCAAGACAGCCCACTGTCCCAGGAGAGTGCCAGGTCTCCATCCCTTAATCTGGCTGTGCCTTGTGCAGCTGTGACTTCCCTCCCCTTCCCCATGAAAGGGACATGGCAGGCCCAGGACACCCACGCCTGGTTGGTAGCGGCCCACATACCTGCCTCATGTCTCCCTGCGCCGTGAAGATGATGGCTTCCAGGCCGTCATCAGTGTGGGGCACCCTCTCCTTCTCAATAACGCTCATCAGCCTGGTGAGGATCTGGGCATCTGTCAGCTTCGTGTAGCGGAGGACAGCGCAGCGGGACTGAATGGGCTCTGAAGAGAGACGGGACGGCAGTGAGGCTTCCCTGCAGAGGCCCAAGTTACCCTGCTAGCTCTTCAGTTACAAGGCTGCAGCTGCATGATCCACACAGTCCCAGGCACCCAATGGAGACTTGGCAGGCTGGGCACCTTGGCTCACGCCTGAATCCTAGCACTTTGGGAGGCTAAAGTGGGAGGATCACTTGAGATTGGGAGTTCAAGGCCAGCCTGGCCAACAAGGTGAAAACCCATCTCTACTAAAAATACAAAAATTAGCCAGGTGTGGTGGCTCATGCCTGCAATCCCAGCTACTTGGGAAGCTAAGGCAGGAGAATCTTGTGAGACAGAAGGCGGAGGCTGCAATGAGCCAAGATCGCACCATTGCACTTCAGCCTGGACAACAGAGTGAGACTGTATCTCAAAAAAAAAAAAAAAAAAGAGAGAGAGAGAGAGAGACAGGCAAAACAGGGTGACATGTCAAGGTATCAATGAATAAGCAATGAGAGGTCTCAGCTGGCATTACCTGGCATGGCCTTGGCTAGCCACAGCTTCCAGATGGGGAAATGAGGAAATGATCAATGATCCTCCAGTAGAGACACATCCATATGCCACAAGCCCTCAGATAAGTCAGCCATGGCCCAAGTGGACTCTGGAATTGCTGTGTGCTGGACATAGCCCTTCTGGGCACATGACAATTCATTCTGAATGGACCACCCCCAGTTTTTTTTTTCTTTCTTTTTTTTTTTTTTTTTTAAAAAAAAGA